ACTTCTTATCAAAATCAGATGAGTCTCTGTTAATCATTTTTCTCGCTTAGATTCATTTGGAACTTGATTCAATAAAAGCAGAACGCAAGTTTTTGGTTTTTATAATACTCTTCAAATGCTTCCTAATCAGTTATTTACTTGAAGAATTTGATTAAGACCAGATCTGATATGAAACATTGACATTAAGTTATGTTCCTATCAAGAAGTTTTATAAAAGAAGCGATAAATACCCCTTCAAACATTAAATCTAATGTATGGTATTGTTGCAGGGATTCGGCACTGAGGTTTTCATGTTTGGAAGAAATATCGATAAGAAAATGCAATAGTGTTTTCATATTTGAATAATTTACATCAGATAATTTCAGTTGATAGATTTGCTTAAGCTATTGGCACTTGAGAGATAAGCAATAGAAAATTGAATGTTGATATTGGCAGAACGATCAAGTAGAACAGTATTGTGCCAATAATGCATGGACATCCTTTATTATTCATATATTTGCGTTTCCATTTTTTATTGTCCTCTGAGACTGTCATGCAGACAGGAGGAATACATTTTAATGAGTGGTCTGCAAAATGCTATTCTCACTGAATATTGTATGACCTACTACTATCACTAATGCACCTGGTTCTCTTCTGAATATTATCCGTATATCTTTGCGCAACATGATTACATGTTTAAGCGTAATTAGTGTAATATGGAAGTGCCTATCATATCGTTTTCTGTTCTTCTCTCTCTCTCGTGTGTGCGTATATAAAGCGAGTGTATTGTACAGAAGAACAGAACTGGAACGGCGAAGAATGGAGTAGTGCAGTTAACATCATACAAACCGAGGATAGCGATAACGCTACTCTTCCAGTTTCTTTTTGTGATCACAAATAAAATAAAAGCTGCAGTAGTAACAAATATAAACTATCCATTTACCATCAATTATAATTTGTTACAATCATTATCTCTCGATTTTGACAGAGCAGTTTTTCGACTAACATGCTACTATATTGAACAGACACTTTCATTCGATTGTTAAACTCATGATGTACGATTATTAACAGACTGGTTGAAAAAGTATGATACATTGAATCTGCATGTCAAGATAACTATATAAAGATATTAATTCCTTGCTTCGTTTAGAAGGATTTAGTGACAACCAGTGTCGCATGAATCATTCTTCAGTCGAGGGTTAAGCAAGTCTCGAAGGCGAGCGTTACTTGTTCCTATGTAATAAGTTAATGTGCTATTATGATAATCTTTTTCCTCTAAATTTTCTTGCTTAGTCGTAGACATAATAAGTGTTCTATCACCGTCGCTATCGTAACAACTCTGGTATGTGTGCAATTGACAAGACTTACGAGGGAACATATCCAGGTGTCGGAACGATTTCGAGTCAGGACTTAGCGCATCTTATAGAACTCGGTGAGCTATGTGTACCGTAAAAAGACTTTGGGCCCATGACTTGTTCCTGGGAAGATATTAAGGTGTTGGTGAATTTTTCCTATAGGATCCTACTTTTCCAGCACGACCTTATTTTCGAACTTGTGACATGAAACTTTGCTCACATAAAGAGCTCAGCTAAACTAGCTTGCAAAACAGATTTCAGAACTCTTCGACGAAGTCTCTCCGAGATATTAAAATTCCAAGATACAGGCTCTTTTCCACTGATAGCGTATACAGCATGCATGTTTTGAAGTCTTCATATTTCGAAGGGACTTCGTCGAAAAGTCCTGAAGGGTGTGGGTGTGGGTGTGGGTGAGTGTGGGTGTGGGTGTGGATGTGGTTGTGGGTGTTGTTAGGGTCTGGGTGTATGGGTATGGGTGTGGTTAGGGTCTGGGTGTGTGGGTGTGGCTGTGCCTGTGGCAGTCGCTGTATGAAAGAGAAGATCAACGAACACACTCACACCCACACCCACACCCACACCCACACCCACACCCACACCCCACACCCACACCCACACCCACACCCACGCCCACACCCACACCCACACCCATACCCACACCCATACCCACACCCATATCCACACTCACACCCACACCCACACCCACACCCACACCCACACCCACACCCCACACCCACACGCACACCCACAACCACACCCACACCCGCACCCACACCCACCCACACCCACACCCACACCCACACCCACACCCACACCCACACCC